TTCAAAATCCTGGCTACGAGCAATAACACCAATTTCTACTCTTTCCAGATGCTTCTGAAGCCTGGTAGAGGACCTACTATTTTTGTGGTGTAACAATGAAAAAGTTAAATTCTTCATTTTTTTCTAAGTTTCAAAATCTTCTGTGGGCGCAGGCCTCTAGCCTCCCCTAGGAACCTCGTACCAACGGCGCTACATGTATAGCTGGTCCCTCAGAACCCCCCCATTCAAAATCCTGGCTAGGACTCTAGGAGCATGTACTGTACAGCAATAACACCAAGCCTGTCCTTGTAAGTGCTGCTGTGGGCAATGTGCCAGAACAAATGGATTTCCTCCCCTGATCAGCTGTGGTTTCAGTTGGCATAACATTGTTAGAACAATCTGGCACGGTCTGTAAATGTGTTTTGGCTGGCCTACAAAATCTGGTATTTCCTGGTATCTCTACATGCATGACTGACAGGGGCTGATTCCAATAAACGAACAGGATGGTGCTGCTCAATTATGACCTTACTAGGGACAGAATAATATTTATGATACTTAAATAATGTAATGTACTGTTTTAAGTGTTCCTACATACAATTAAAATTGTATGTAGGAACACTTCAGGAAGAGTAGTGAAGTTTACATGTTCAATTTCACTACTGGGGATAAATAAAAATTTTCTAATATTGGCTGTATACTTCGATAAATGGCATATTTACAAAATGTCCTTTTAAAGATTCATAAATCGGTGCTAGACTGTTGCCAGGGTCAGTATACTGACTAGCTCCTTGGCTTCAGGGCTAGTCTGGGTGCCAGACTGTTGCCAGGGCCAGTATACAGGCTAGCTCCTCGGCTCCGGGGCTAGCCTGGGTGCCAGGGCCAGTATACAGACTGGAACCTTGGTTCCAGGGCTAGCCTGGATTCCTAACTGTTTCCAGGGCCAGTATTAGGCTAGCTCCTCAGCTCAAGGGCCAACCTGTACCCAGGTAAATTTTACTATAGACCCTCTCAGACTCAGGGTCTAACTGGGGGCTGTATATTGACCCTGAGACCAGTCTGACATCCGGGCTAACTCATAAAAGAAGAAACAGCATTGTTGATGCAACAAAAAAAAAAACAGAAACATTCATTAAAGAAAAGTATGACAAGCAAGCACAGCATATTTGAGTTCTCAGCTATCAGATTTTCAAACCACAGCAGAAAGGAGTCAGGAAACGGATTTAAGATAACACAAACTGATAGGTCTACATTCTATCAAATGATTCAGTTCAAAGCTACGCTTAACCTATCACCATTGCCTACCCCTGCCAAAATGATATACTGCAAAGACAGGTGGAGAAACCAAAAAACAACATGTTCAGTAAAACAGCTCGTCCAAGTCATTGTCAGCTTGACAAGGCCCAGGAAGCTTGTCATCATCGACTTCAAGGCCAAAATTCCTTTTTCTATATCAGGGAAGGTCGATTTATACACTCCCTGCCTAACTCCCTCCTCCTACACACTGACATTCCAGAAATTTTAACATCAGTTCAAGTTGGTTGTTTGGCCTTGAGGCAGATTCCGAAGTAAACACTCTAGAAAGATATACATGTTCACCATTCTAATCGTGTGCAAGTTAGATGCATGATATCATTTGTAAAAAAACTTTTAAATTCTGAATCAACCCACAATGTATTGGATGTTTTAATTTGAAAAATGTAATCTTTGATTCAATAACAAGTGATTGTAAATTGTACAATATGGCATCATCCAGTAGCCTTTTCACTGTTCTTCTAAAAACAGACAACTTCATAGACAGAAAACTCAAAATACCCTTGGCTAGCCTTTTGTGGAAGTCTTGTTTTTAGTCTGGAAAATTCTGTTTTGTGCATATTTCAAGTGATTCTTTAACCTTGTCCCTGCTAAGGGTGCATTTGAATGACAATTCTGTCTTGGTCTCAGTACCTGCCAGCATGAAAAGGGTTAACTTGACTAGAGTTACACAAGAAAACTGTTACTCAAGCAACTGGATACTCTGAATTCCGGTCCGTGAATAGTTTCATCAGGTTGGTAAGTCACTGAATAAAGAGACTCTTTTTACATGTACATGACCAATGTTTCGGTGACATGTGCTGCAGTGCAATGTGAACCAGTCAGAATTACCCTGAGGAAGGTGACAGACAGTCACCGAAACGTCGGCTGTGAATAAAACACTTGGTTGTGTAAAAAGTGTCTCTTTACTCAGATTCTAAAAACTGTCAGGCATTTTATGTAGCGTCCAGCGTCCAACGGAAATGACTAAATTGACAAGACTTAGTAGAGGTAAAGGTGAAGTGGTGAGATTTCCTTACCGGTTTCTTTTCGTCCTGGAATGACACAGTACTGGTGCTCCGACTGTCTGTGATGGTGGACCTAAACACAACAACAACAACAACAACAACACGTCAAGGTTTAGACAATAACAGCATTCAACAACAACAACAGCCTACAAGTATCAACCATGAAAATACAAGTCAGGACAAACCCCTTAGCCTAGCAAGCCTACATATATTGTTACAGAATGATAATAACTTCTAAGCAAAACATGTTCTTCTCTGGCCAGACATATAGGTGACACAGTTAAATAGTTAGTCCATGCATGTGAAGGAAAAAGCAAAATGAATGAGTAAACATGTCTATACAGCACCTGTTATCTGAGGCACTAAGTACAAGAGCCATCAGACCAGAGGCTTGGAGCAGCCAAAAAGTACCACTAACTTCCAACGAACATTTCCAAAGCCTACTAATAGGGTGTGTATGGGGGACGGAGGAGATATTGATAGCTATTTTGCAAGTTTATAATGTAATATATGCCCAACTTTAGGGTTTTAAAAGCCGCTGATTGTCAAGTAACCATTGAGCGTAGACTTTCAATTTTCTCTATAATCTATCAAAATTCCAGGTTGACAAATCTGTTAAAGTGCAATTCCAAAGTGTGCCAAAACCCCAAAATACCCTCTGTCTAAGCTGTGCTGTCTGAGGCGAAAGGAAAAACATTTTTGGACCTGCCTCGCCGGCCAACGCTACATGGCTAGTCAAAACCAGGATGATAAAGAGACTGAAACTTCCGGGGCAGACTTGTGCTAACCGGGAGGGTGGAGATTTACAGGGTAAATGTTGGCATTGACTCTCCCTCAAAACTTCCTCGCCTGGCCGCCAAAAATCACAACCATGTGTTTGGACTGGTCGCGGTCGACTGCCCGGTCAAGGTTTGACCAAGGGCGCAATCGAAAAGTCATTATACGTGGTGCGTGAAAGGACTGAACTGGACATTTGGCTCTTGTCAAACAAATACAAAAATGTATCAATCTTTTGCGGCAAACGGAATACAGAGCAGTCCATTCTTAGAGTACAAGCACTATACATTGTAATATTGTATGATATGCCCTACTAGTTTTTCAACCATGTATATCACTGGGTCAGTCTACTGAGGAAGACCAGAGTAACTGGTCAAAAGATTTAGGTGAGCGAACTTTTTGTGTTGGATCGAAAGTTTTAACTTTCAGCATATAGTATGTGGTTCAAACTGTTCAACTCCAAGCAAATGTTTAGGCTTGTACTTTACAAACAAAGTTTTTTGTACTGGGATTTTTGTACTCTACCGAAACGTTTTTTGGACTGGGATTTTTTTCACCAGCCTTGGAGTAGTGTAGCTACCATGATGTCTTGCAAATTTGATACTGCCTTGCAGCCACCAAAAGATCTGCTTGTAGATTACTACAGGATGAAGAGGTCTAAACTGGCCAGCTGTTGTATGTGTTGGTTGCAGGGAATCTGAGTTATGTTGTAGTGTGGGTGTTGGGGGTCCTCTGGGGGCAGGGCTACATGATAACTGTTCAGCCCCCCTGGTGATAGGTAATGTCCACAACATGTGGGCAAAGTTACACTAACTCTCCTGAAACATGTTCCAGCTTGGGCTTCCTGGTCAGGGATTGAAAATAATGCTTTTTTTCTGCATACCTGCACTGGTATTCTGAAAATTACCTGCACCAAACTTTACCTGCACAACTCAGAATTTAGGAAGTTCAGAAACCGTTGCCATTATTTCTTTTATACAGCTTGGGTTTCCTGGTCAGGGATTGAAAATAATGCTTTTTTCTGCATACCTGCACTGGTATTGAAAATTTCCTGCACCAGACAAATTTTATCTGCAACACTCCAAATTCAGGCAGTTCAGAAACCATTGACATTTTTCTTTTATACCTCATACTGTGCCATAGGAGGTAACAGTCAATGTAGCAAATAAAAATCCATATTCACCTACATGTACATTTGTACATCATGACATTTTTTGTGTGTGTTCATATACCCAGTACACTAGACTGACAATTAGAGATCAAAAAGCTTGGATGAAAACATAATGAGCTAAGAATGTTAGGTTTGATTGACTGATACTATAGGTCTGATAGCATCAAGTGGCTGGTATAGTATTTCAACTGACAACCCCCTAAGGTTTAATTTGTTGTGATAAGGCTTAACCCAATTAAAGATAATTAATTGCTGTCATTCAGTAATAATGATGTACAACAGTTCATGACTTTGTAATAGAGAGTGTGCCCTTCCCCTCTCAACATGGGGTTAGTTTATTTGCATCAGCAGGGATTGAAATACGTACCTGCAAATACAGGTTAGTGCAGGGAAAATTGGAGATGTGCATTATGTTTTCATCCAAGCTTTTTGATCTCTAATTGTCAGTCCAGTGTTTGTTGTTGAAACAAACTTAAAAGATCTGAAAGCAGCTTTGAAACATTGTCATGTTTTCTTGTGATCTAGGCCAATGGCCTAGTCAAATAATGTCTACTAGTACTAGTACTACTTCTCTTAGCTCACGTGGCAAGGGGCAGGCAAGGGTAACATTGTTGAGGGGAACATCGGAAAAGCATACTACACCTGCACAAAACACTGATTTTCCACAGATTTCCTTCAATGTTTGATCAACGTTGCATCAGAATTTTGCCCGTGGCAGACAATATCTTTTCCAACAGTTGAATAACTTGAAAACAGAACGTCATCCATATGCAACTATAACCTTAAACGAGACATTCTGCAGAAGGTGTATGCAGAATTAATTGCGAGTTTTGTGCAGGCACAGTAAGTTCTTCTAAAATGCTGTATCATGAAGATATCTTACCGATCCATAAGTATGTAGTCCCTGGGCCCAGTCGGTGTCTGTCCCGTCACAGGGTGTTTAAATGTGGTCTTCTTCCCTCTGTGACTGCAAAATGCCCAAGACATAACACTTTTAGGACATAGACAAGAACAACATTCTACACAATGAATCCAAACTCTATAACTTACGTAAAGAGAACTGCCATTCACAAGTGTCATATATTACATAAAAGCTAACTTGTGGCTTATAACAATCACATACAAATCAACTGTAAATATTTTCTATATCTTACATTACAATATTACATTGAATTCTACCAGACTATATTTTATACTATATCTACTCTATAGCTATAGTCACCAAATATGTAGCAATATCTAAACACTTGTAAACTCTATACATATCCCACACTGCTACTGAATGTAACCACGACTGTAGTAACTATACATACATGAAAACATCCATCATTTGGCAACTGTTGAAACAGCACAGCAGTCCTAGACAAACTTGCCAAATAACCACATACCGTATACCAACACCCTATGAAATCTATTTAACACATGGTATTACATGCTTACATACAATACACACTTGTAGGATACTTTTGTACATGTCATATACCTCACGACAGTTGATGGATGTTATTTCACCAATCACGTTTCTAAAAACGTCTGGAAGCGTTGTTTGAAGTGCCCAGAAAAACCCGGGCCCACGTAAACATGGGCCCACTTCACGCGCTGCACAGCCTCCGTGCTTCACATTTCTTTCCACCACTGTTCACATTCCTCGGCACAATAGACCTAACGGCTCAGTCCTGACCTTTTGGGGCAGCCCCACTATTGTACACCCCGACCACCCCTACTGCAAAGTTCATCAGCCCACAAAAGCCTCCCCTTTGTACATGACTTAGACAGACTGGAATGCTACACTGTGTTCAAGAGGGGGTGTCAAGTTCAAAGCGTTTGTTGTACTCTGCTCTTGAAGTACGGCAGGGGGTCTTGCTCTCCCTTGGATAAATTTCAAGGACCCATTTAGAATGATAAGTATTCATGTAAGCTGGAGTAATATATTAAATCATGAGGCTTCCATAATGTTGATACTACTATATTACTAGAAAATCTTTTTGATAAGGTACAATGACTGAAATAATTATAAATCACCATTTTGAATGGTTGTGAGCTGGAATATTCCATTACTGCAACAGAGGGAGAGGAGAATGTTGAATGCTAACACCCATATTAGGACAGTAATAGGTCTGATCCAGCTATATATAGGAGTTTTGCTTTGCAGTGGTGTAGACCAATTCTCTGATACTAGTAGGTCACGCTTAATGTTTTTGGTTATTCCAATTTTGCAAGAAAAAACACGCTCACAACTTGTTATCTTAGAGCTGGCAAGCCGAGGTGTTTTTGAAATACCGACCGTGCCCAAGGATACAACAGAAGCAATATTATTCCGTCCTTGACTCAATTAACATACGATAAGATCTGGAATGGAGAGAGCAACAACAAGACTTCTGTCTGTTGCCCTTAAATTTTGTTTAAAATCTTTGTTAGCTACGTATACTGCAGTTAATTCATACATTTCAGTCAAAACTTCAAAACGGGAGTTCTTAATATCACTGGACAACAATTGCTCGCTGAATTTGGAAGTCTAAGTGCCAAGAAAGATCTACGTGCAAATGACACTTGCTAGTATGTAGCCTGAAGGCTCAATTATGTAGACTTAAAGAGATAAAATGGCGACAGGGCTTACCCCAATGGAAAACAATCAGCTACACATGCCAACACGAACACAAAAATTCCTGAGCCATTGTTCTACGATATAAACCTCAAAAAGACATGTTTGTATCTTAATTACTAACTTTAGCAGTTGTCCTTTTCAAGATGTTGACTGAATGAGACTATGACAGTGACAAACAACACAAGCAAAGCTCAGAGGTCTTTAACATTAGCCCCAGGCTAACGTCATTCTCGTGCTCCGTTTAGGCCACACCAATTAAAATTGTTGTTTCTTGTGTTTGCCCTGTCCATTTTTTTCTGATTTGCAAAAAAAAAAAAAATCTTAGGTTCTAAATCAACTGCAAAATGCTCAATGAAAGACATATTTTGGCCACAACAGTTGAAGCAAGACACTCCTTTTCTTCCTAGTTGTTAAAGTTTTTGAAAGTAATAACGCAATTCTGTTTCATTAAAAGTTCAAAATGTTTTATTTTACAAGCCTGGTATGTTTACTTCATGGCTCATACTGTAACATTTCCGGCTATCATGGGGTGCCTTGGCCTGTTTTTTTATTTTTTTTATTTTTCCTTGTCACTTCATATTTTTTCTGAAAAAATCTGAGAAACAACAAAATAAATTGATGTGGCCTTAAAAAAACAATTTCGTGATTGTGCCTTGCAGCAGGTACAGGTAATTTGGCCTTTCACCGCCGACTACGGTCACACCTAGCTAATTATATGCAACTGTTGTGACTGTCGCTTGGAATAGCAATCTGGCGATAAACGTGTGGCATGCATCAGCAACGTCCGATGTAAACACTACAATGTTGGGACTGTATGTTACATATGGAGTAACGAATATCAAAGGGATATTTTGGAGTATAAAAACATGAAACGATATCTTGGTTTGAGTCTAAGTTGACCTTCCTCACAGCCTTGAGGCAGTACAGTTAATTACATGAGAAGAGTCTCGGGGCAAATCAACATATTTAGATCACTGATTTAGATCAAGCTTGTGAGACAGGGGAGCTCAATCTATTGAAAACACATACAATAGTTGACGTACAAATATTGTACCCAAAAAAATCAACATGCATATGGTTTAGGCCACACCAATTTAATTTGTTGTTTCTCAGATATTTTCAGAAAAAATATGAATCGAAAGGCCAAGGCCCCATGATAGCCAGAAATGTTACAATATGAGTCATGAAGTGAACATACCAGGCTGGTTTATAATCAAAACAATAGATTTTCAACTTTTAATGAATCAAAATTACATTGTTACATTCATTGAAAAAAGACCTACGAAGAAAAGGACTTTCTTCAAATGTTGGGACCAAAATATGTCTTTCATTGAGCATTTTGCAGTTAATTTAGAACAAAAAAATTTTTGTTTGCAAATCAGAAATAATGGACAGGGCGATCCGAAAAGCAACAAATTAAATTGGTGTGGCCTTATGAACACTATTTCATGTTTTTTTCTCTTGAAACTGACAACACCAAGGTCAAATCTGAATGTCACATTTTTGAACTGTTACTGACTGATATTACAGTACTCTACACTAAAATTATAAGTGGTTGCTATCTAACATGCTCATAATGGTTTGGCCGGCACATATTTGTGATACTACGTACGTAGCACGCTCCCCAAAACAAAACATTAACCATTCATTCTATATAGCCGACCTTTTCCTAGGTAGGGATCAGGTTCATCGGAAAGTAAACAATGCCATTCTTCTATGTAGAGTCCAGGTCGATAACGATAAGGAAAAGGTTAGCCCACATACCAAGGGGGGATACGTGGGAAGCCAAGGGAAAGGGAAAGAAAACATGTTCCCTTTTTTTCTGGAGGTGAATGCCAGGACCCGTAGAAGAGAGAGGGTCTGCATGCCTTTTTCTGTGAGGCCATTTTGATTCAGCCCTGGCCACTTCAATCTAATGTTTAAAGGCATCCAATGTGATTTCAGAGCAGCAAAACTGGAAATATTCTGAACAAAGAAATCTTTATGTTACCACATTTCAATCATTATTTCATACTTTGGGTACGCTTAAACTGGAGAAGCAAGCCCCAAGATGAGTCCTTTATTTTATGGGTGGCACACTAAAAATCAGCCAAGGGGCCTTCCAGTAACCATTTTCCACCAAAATTTGGGGTATTTTTGCTTCATGATGGTCAATATACATTGGAATAGTGTGGTTTCAACCTGAAGTGTAATAACAATAATTGATCGCTTTGATTCCAAGTAGTACGTTATTTGTTTTCCTGTCCAAAAATCAGAGTGTCCAAGGTCCCCAGACTATGCCAGACACCCCATTAATACAAAAGAGTATTCCAATGAAGTCGCTACCAAAGCCAGGTCTGCAAAAGAGCAACTTCATTGTGTGCTAGGTGTTGCTGCTAGCCTGCCTGAATTTACTGTTAAGCATCGTTGGCCCTCCTAAATTTAGTTAGGCAGTAATATTGCAGTTCAGACAAAATTTTGTTCTCACGACTGTAATTTGACAACACTCTGTGCAAATACACAAGCCTCAATACTACAGCCTTCTCAACCTAATAATGCAAAATTGCAGATTGTAGGATTTTTCTTCTGCAATCTTGCAGATAGATACTTTGAACACTGACTCAGGACACCCCATGCAGACCCTCAAGATACAATGTATAGTCACAACAGCAGCAAGGGAAGTGCCTTTTGTTTCTCCTACATAGTCTACTGCCTCTGCTTCCCTAAATTTGATCCCAGCATTGCACTGCCTTTTTTTATTCCATGTGACATCTATTGTTGGTGAATACAGGCTGCGATTTCTGCAGAAAATCCTCCTGAACATCACATGAAGGGGAGGGCAGGAGGTCGTACTGTTCTCTCACTCCATCCCGTAGTCTGACCCCATTTCTTTTCTCCTTCCCTGCCTGCTTTTCTAAAGATTTTTCCCCACGAAACTTCCGTATTTACATTGTCGCTTGTGTTGCGTCGAGAACCAGTGATTAATCAGTTAGTCGCCTAAATGCAGCTGTCGTTTTAAAAGTCTGTCGATGAAAAATGGTTATGAAATTCTATGGAACTTCAATATTTGAAGTAGCAGAGTCAACACTTACTCCACAAAGTACGGTGCTCCTTCTGGTGTCACTGCCTCCTCCCAGCCTGAGGGCAAATCTGGAAAAAAATAATAGAGAAAACGTCATACTTTTGCTTATATTGATCCAAATTTAACAAAACGATAAGAACACTTAATCTATAGCAAACAAGAAGACAATCCTCTGTGAAGTTTGATATTTTGCAGATCAGGAACTAAATTATTTTCCTAAATGTACTCGTACGTTACTTCAAAGTTGTAGGTCACAAGTAAAGAAGGATTTGGATTTTAACAAGTTGGGACAGATTCAGATCAAGCCACAATTTCCTGGACATGTTTTCTCATTCCTGAAAAGCCAAGCCACGTGGGTATGTGTGAGGGGGAACTGATATATAATGCCTTCTCAACACAAACAAAAAACACCACCATTTGAGCACAATCACCATGGACATAAAAGATTCTACTGGATATGTGTTACATTAGTACACTACAAGTGTGGAACAAGCAGAATGGGAAAACAAATCTCGCTTGAGCAGCGAACAGTTGTAGTATAGATGGTACAAGTTATTGCCAAGCTTAACTAATGCCTTCTCATTCTCAAAACAAATAAAACAACACCACCATTTGGCCTACTTCTGAATATCATCACTATGGAAACAAAACATTTTACCGGAAATGTTTCAAGCACAACCAATAATTACCAGTGTGGAAGGCACGCGTCAAAACAAATTTCACTTGAACAGCCCAAACAGTTGTGGGATAGACGGTACAACTTCTTACCAAGCTTCACATGGACAGAGCTGCTATAGACAGACTACTTAGTCTGGGACTGTTATTTCACAAGGTCTTGTTATGTCTTAAAGTAGCCACAGCAAAGACAGAAGACACATTAAATGTTGAGTATGTCCTTTTAATTAGGGTACTGGAACACACTCCTTCAACATTGTTGATCATTTCAGTTACCGACCATATACAAATAATACTCCAACAGGAAAATGTACGTGGACTTTTATCTTCTGCATTGACTGTTATCGCCTGGTATGAAAGATACCAGAAAAAATGGCAATAGTTTCTGAACAGTTTTTAGTATGATCCATACTTTCTAAATTCTGAGTGGTGCTAGCAAATTGAACAGCGAACAGTTGTAGTATAGAAAAAAGTATTTTGAGCCCTGCCCTTGCTGGGTATCATGCAAATATGTAACTTCTACTTTGATACAAGGAAGCTGCCTCCTTTCAATGCAGCAGTGCCCTACATTTGTATATTTGCAACTGAGGCATTAGGCTGTGTTGATTTGATTATATATGGAAGACATCTTCTGGGAACCCTAAAACTGATGTGAGGGTACAGATAAAAAAATGTTTAGCAAAAAAAAAAGATGTTGTCATTATGAAATTTACATTTACAAGGATAAAACAAATGACTAAACACACAGAGTATATTCATTTTCATTTCTTCACATTTTTTTCTTTTCCTTTGGAATTGATTTTGGTATAATCTACGATGTTAGTTATCATTTCACGATATCTTCTAAGCAATCTACAGCATATACGACATAATGCAGCTGCTTTGTACGATTTACAGTATGATCGAAAACTTTGTTATGGAAATGGACGAAAATTCATGCGAGCGCAGATGTCATCCATATAATCAAATCAGCATGGCCTGGTGTAAAATTCTGCCAACAACTGATTAGTCCTTATCAAAGATGACGTCAAGTCCTGGGTCTAATCCCCCAGGTGTCCCAGCAGCCTGCACACCTGTCTCGCTCAGGTGTGCGCACGCTTACCTGACACCCAGGTATGTGTTGACACGCACATGTCTGCGTAACCCCAGCCTCACGGGGTAACCCAAACCTGGGCTGTAGGATCAATCAAACAAAGAGACCCACATGTCTCTATAGGTCAGATACAACCCTTACCTCTGCAACACCCCTCATGGGAGAAACCATCACAACATCTAAAACGGGAGGTACTATTCTTTCTGAATCTTAGAATCCCCTCCTTTTACAAATTTCCTTACATTTTTGACTAATTTCCTTTTAATTTCATCTTGTTTCCCATTGACGTTGCCAATATATAATACTTACTAATAGCGATAGCACACAGGCATGTACGTCATCTTTTAGCACATTTTCTTAGAACATCCCAAAAACAAAATGAAATATTCCTTGATCCCTTTATAGTGAGGGATACATTGTACGGTGGATATTGGATATGATAAGCCCAGGACTTTGGGTTATTTTAGTTCCCATCAAAAAACTGTTTAGGGAGGTCATTATTGTAACTTTCCTTCTCAAAATAAGAGGCAGGCGGTCTGAAAGAGAAGTCTACAATGGAAATGATATAAGAGATGGTGGCAATTAAGAATTCCTTACTGCCCCCTCCTCAGGTCTTTGAATGGAACGACCCTTGCAAAGACTCAGACCTCCAAATGGTCTATGGAGATGTGAAAATGTCAAATCAATTAAGAGATAACCTTCTATTACAGATCAAGATTTCAAACTTCAAAGGAGAATTAGTTGCCAGCATTGAATGCACATCACACACCTGCATGGAAATATTCTAACCTACCTTAACGATTCAAAATACTGTACTGTAGAAGTGTAGTTGATTGTACATCATCCAATTTTAGACACTTACAGTAACTAGGTCAATCAAAAGTTGAAAGACAGGTCTCAAAATCTGTCAATCTTAACACGATTATTTCTAACAGATTTACAAGCAATTTTCTTACAAAATAATGTATCTTTCTCATCATTTCTTGGGCTGACTTTAAAATGTTTGTTGTATGAAAAACGTACTTCTCACCTAATTTACATATGAATAATAGTGAAAACACCCAAAGCGCAAAGGGTTGACTCCACAGGTGTAGCAAATGACAATATTAGCTTGCAGACTTGCAATGGATATGCTTCAGTAAGATTCAAGCAAACTAACATGTTGTTGCTTCGCATTGTGTTGACCAAACCCGAGCTCAATGCCTGAGTGATGTTTTTTGAGAAACTGGCAGATGTTTATTTGCCAAACAGACTACTGTGTCCCCCCTCGGTGGCTCGACAGAAAAATATCCTGGGGCAAAAAAAGGTTAGCACTTACGCAGGCACCTCTAATAGGGGACCTAATTTAAAGGCATCCCGCTGTGTTTTAGCAAATGAACGGTTGCAATTTCGCCTGCTCTGCTCTGTTAGTATTGCTTAGACTACTTTGAATGAATCTTAACGTCTATTATTTGGACAAATGAATCCTTAGTTTCTGTAAAGGAAGATCTAGAAGGAAATCGCTCAGTCAAAGTTTTGTTTTTGTTGTTATGGAATACTGCAAATCATTACTTTTTCGTGATACTCTAACATGTATATTCGCGTTTTTTAGGGTAACTTGTATATCACAAATTTATCATTTACCGCAGACAAATACCGCAGACTTCTTTTTTTCTGCACCTGCCGCAACCGCGGGCATGTATTTTCCTGAACGTGTCCATTGTTGTCAGACCACAAAATTTTGCTACCGCGATTATAAAGTGATTTACAGTAGTCTCCCCTGTCATTACCTGGTCACCAGTTGTCAAATATGTTTTTTTTTTTTTTCTAAACTGTGATTTCTTTTCTCGGCTGTCACATATGAGTTTTTTCTTTCTTTCTTATCCAATTTTAACATCATTTTTCCCTTTAACTGGGGGTTAGACAGTATGCTTGCATCAAGTGCAAGTCTTTTTTGTAGCAAGTTTTTTTAGAGTTACCAAATGGAAAGAGTACTAAAGGTCGTATAGTAAATATGTAGGCCCTTCTTGATTTGCAGGTCTTTTGTGCACTGGAATAAGGTAGAATGGACCATTGTTTGGTTGGATTTAAGAAGAGGGTAGTGGGTTGTGTGTGTAAGCTGTGGTCAGAGAGAGTTGTGTTGACAAGGATTTACCTGTACCTTAATCTTTGCTCAGATCTAGGCCAGAAGCCACAACTTGTTTAGATGTGAGAGGATGTCGTTAATCATGTCACTGGTCTTTTCACCAGCCTGGTTTGAGTCCTACATTACCACAGTATTAGCAGGTCTTTGAAATACCTTACATGTACTAACTCTCTGTGTACCTGCACTGGGGCAGGTAACATTGAAAATTACCTACACCAGACTTTTTATTTTCACCACTCAGACTTTAGTCTAGAAAGTATGGATCACATTCAACTGTCCTAATGAAAGAAATAATGTCAATGATTTTTGAACAGTGTTAAACACTGTTCAAGAATCATTGACATTATTTCTTGACATTAATGATTTTTGAACAGTGTTAAACACTGTTAAAAAAATCATTGACATTATTTCTTTCATTAGGACAGTCAACTCAACAGTCAATACAGTCAATAAAAATCCACATAGTACACCTGCATCTGTATAATAATCCCAGTATATATACATGTAGGGTTAGGTGCAGGTAGACATAAAAAATACCTGTACAACCCCAATTTTACCTGCAACAACTTGCATATGCATGTGGTATATTTACACTCATGATTAGAGTGTTCAGATGAAGATATTAAATTATGAAAACATAACTACCTTCCTAAGCTTCTTAATTGGTCATAAGCTGCTTGTTAGTATTACTGAAACAAGTGGCCCAGACAGGACAATGCATTTGTCCCAAAGTAATTTCATTTCCCATGAAAAGGATATGATTTATTCATAATCAACAACATCCATGCATCCTATGCTAAGGACAGGCTCGATGACAAAATGTCCTTATGAATTATGGAAACAGAACAAAAGGCTTCTCACTTCCGATTTGGACACTTGTTGTTTCCTTGAACAAATTTTTAGATCCACATTATACAGAAATAAAGGAAGGCACAGGAACTATAAACTATAATGAAGTGACCAGTGTTAACCAGTATAATCAAATGAATATCATTATGATGTATTCATTTTACTAGCCTGGGTGCCAGACTGTTCTCAGGGCCAGTATACAGGCTAGCTCCTTGGCTCCAGGGCTAGCCTGGGTCAGTATACAGGCTAGCTCCTTGGCTCCAGGGCTAGCCTGGTTGCCAGACTGTTACCAGGGTCAGTATACAGGCTAGCTCCTTGGCTCCAAGACCAACATCTCCCCAAGGAAATTTTACCCTAACTAGCTTCTTGGGGTCTAACTAGACTCCTTTGCAGGCCTAGTAGTAGACCCTCTATGTCCAGCCAACTTTTTAGGCCGATTTCTACTAAGTATTCAGCCTGCAAAGGAGTCTGGTGGAGACTACTCGGGATTGCCTGCGAATTGGTCCCAAGAACAGTCTGGTACCCATGGTATTATTTTCCCTACCTTTCCTGTCCCTGTAGCCAGTCTGCACAGGTTGGCCGGTCAGAGGGTGGAGCCACGAGGTGCTCATGGTCTCATCACTGTGGAAACACAAAAACAGTACAAATGTTAATTTAATTAGGCATCCAAATTCCAATGCACTTTCATCTTGGCAATTACAAAAAATATCCTGGATTAGGAAATCTGTCTGATATTCACATTTGCTGCTATTTCTTAGCAGATTTTCAGCATCATTTTTTACCTGAAAAATTCGAAATAGCTCCAAAACATTAGCTACGTGGGGTCCCTTTATTTTTTTGGTACCACCAATAAATAGCTCAAACCAGCCTATGATACGAAACAAGCAAATGTTTGCCATCAGCGACATTACATTCTTGCCTCACAGATATCAGTATACTACGGGATAGGGATGATTTAACTTGCTACATTACAAAAATGACCAGAAAATTTACTTTGAAAATCCAGTGTTACTGTCCTGAAATCTGCCTTTTTGGATGGAAAAATTTGTGACTCAGGATTAGGATATGGCCCCAAAATCCAGTCACCATTACACATTTCCTTTATAAAACCAGGTAATCTTGCACAGAGCCATATTCTAGGTTTACAAAGGGAGGTCCTGACCAAATAAGGTTAATGATGCCTTATTAAACATCCACCTTTCAGGTATTCAGCTAAACCACAACATCCTAATTTAATGTACTCATCAGGTAGAAAATTGGATACAGTATATGAGTGGAAAGGTCTGGTGTTAACATACTACTCAGTAAGCGCTTAGCATAGAAAAGCCTTTTTTTACAGAAGATCATGTCCCTTTCTCTTTGTACTTGCATATAAAAAGTAACAAAAAAAATGTTCTGCTCATGAAATTGTTTAATTCAGCTCATTTACTATAGTTAGGCCTAAGGGAAAAAATGACCCTAGAAAAAACTGAACCCTGGCCATTTTTTGTGCGGACCCCTGCAAGGGACCTAAATTTTTGGAGCTGATCGACCTTTTCTAGCTCCATGATCTGACGCCTGAGTGATGAAACGTTGTATAATTAGTTTTCTACCATTGACATTGAAAATATAAGTGTCCACATGCAAGTTTTTTCAACTGTAATGTAAATATACTATAAGTTGGCTCACTAGAGACCGACATAGTCTAATAAAAAAACAGAGATCGACAAAGTCTAAAAAAACCTACTGACCCTAATTCTTTCAGAACAAAATATTTTATCTCCTATAGGGCTTAGTCACATATCATCACCTTGTCTAGAACTCAGCACACATCTATTTCGACTTAGCAGCTGCGTAATGTAGAAGTTTGTCCACAGTACATGCTGAACCAACAACGTCAGGCAAATATGCCCAGGGTAAATACTGTGGCAGGACGAATATCAAGTGGTACATCATGGCACTGGGCGGGAGGTCAGGACAGGTCAACAGGACTGACCCCAACATGCCACCCAGTTACAACACATCTGCTACAACAATAAATTCAGTCTTTTCTATCACTAGTACATGTATCAGGCTTTTTATTAGCCATCTGGTGTTATACTTATATGCTAATAGCAGGGACATTCTTAAATACATTTGTTATTCTTATTAATCTTAATAACAAATGTATTTAAGGATAATTTGACACTTTTTAAATGTCTTTTCTTGTTTGGGTGTGTAAAGTTTTGCTACAATTTTTCATCAGTTTCTGTCAGCATATTGCATGTTGCAGGAAAGCATTTTGTATCTTGCATAGACCCCTTCAGTTAGCTTTGTCTTTACACTTATATATGACAGTCAATGCACTAGTCATGTGAGACTAGCACATCAATATATTATACCAACACCCATGCATACCACCAAAGTCCTCATACCGATCTGGCATATAAGGCCAAGGAATAAAATGTTGTGTTTCATGTTTCAGTTCTGAAAAAAATTAAGGTCGGTAGGTATTAAGGGATTATCTTTTTATCTTTTTTTTTTTAGATGTTGACGATCTCTAGTGATCCAACTACAGTGCAACAAATTGTACACTTTGATTTTCAATGTCAATGTTGGCAAACCGATTGTACAATGTTTCGTCACTCAGGTGTCAGATCATGGAGCTAGAAAAGGAGTCAATCAGCTCGGAAAATTTATGTCCACCAAAAAAAAAAAGGCTAGGGTCGGCAGCTTTTTCTACGGTCGGTCAGGAAACAGGAAATTTTTTCCTAGGCCTCATGTTAATGATCTATTAAACCAAGCAGTGCACACACACACGTACGAATTACATGTGTGCGTAGGAAGTTTGTCTACGGCTCGAAAAGCCCTCATAACCCAGTAACCTAATGAAAAGCGCTACTCAAACCAGCTAGACGTTCTAGATTCTTCACATGAACACTTCTTATCCACTACAAACACATTTGCAAGCAATACATCAACCTGCCCTATTCTCTTTAAATCCATTACAAATGCACAAGTCCTATCTTAAGGGTTTAACAATAGGTCTTAAAGCAATAAGTAAACCTTTGATGATTTGCAAGATTCTGCAAGTGCCATTACTTTAATCTGTCAAAGTATGCAAACAATGAACCTTAATGGTGCTTGAGACAACATTATATGTTCATTTGAAGTTGCATTCATGAAAATTACAACTAGTAACTTTTCCTTCATTAACCTGTCATTGATTATAACAACATTTCATTGAGCAAAACTAGTTAAAAAGTAGAAGCAACAACTTGTTGGAATGATGCAGTAGTTACTTCAAGTTTAAGAAAAACTATAGTTTCTTTGCAAATAAAAATTCTTTTTTTTTCATCCCTTCAACTTTCAAGTCAGGACCAAATGTGTTGGTTGGTAACAGCAAAGGTTTTTCATCATACAGTAATCGTATTTCCAAAATCATACTAGCAACGTTACTTATAATACTCAGTACTGAAAATAAACATGAGGAAAAGAAACACAGTGTGCTTGAAAACAAATTAATCATTTGCTTTAGCCTTATTATCTGTTGATACCACACATGTGATTAACATTTATGGGACCTGTCAAGAGGATAAAACGACTTTGTTCCTTCATAATTAATGTCAATATTAAATTACAAAATAGAGCACATTTAGCTTTCCTAACACTAGAGATACCCCGAGGCATGGTAATGTGGTTATATAGCAATAAAACTGTCTGAGAATATGAATTACAGGTCTAATAGTGGCTATTAATTTCTAGCATTTAATGATTTATTCGCTGTTGTTGCTCAAAGCTGTACTATTTGTCATAAAGAACTATTACCATTTATACCGCACCATAAAGTGCTTAAAAAGCAGCATCTTTTATGAAACATGTTTTACCTACATACCAGACCTGAATCATTCTTGGAGAGTTCATTCCTTGGATGTCCAAGGAGAGTTACTAACACACTTAACAAAATTACATTAAGAAAAATCTGGATGCCAAAATTAATAAGTTATTGCACACTACAATTTACTTGTTATGATCATCAGTCAAAAATTGAATATGAACTTCAACTTATGTCAAAATTTGAAAACATTTCTACGTTCTTTTTGAACAGTTCTGGTGTTTGCCTTGTCATTTCCATATGCATTGCACTTTTGTAATTTTAATTTTTCAGCAAGAGCAAATGGAAATAATGCATTCAGGAATCAGGAGAATAAAAAGCAACTCACAGACTGCCCACTGTTACATGACAGTTTGGGCATTGCTCCATCTTAAACTTGGCTGTTAGTGTATGTTTCTGCTCTTAAGCCTGAAGTTGACATTGCTGGCAAATGAGGTCATTGCATTTTGGCTTTTCTCTGGCCTGGGTACTGAAAACATGCCATTAACACAAACTGTACGTGTAAATGTCTGTAAAAGAATGAGGATTTCTACGTGGAATGTTAACTCTTGAGGAATAAAATGAGGGCGGGGTCATAAACGACAGGAAACGGTGTTCCAGTCATTTCTGTCTTCCTGTCTCTCGGTACCCACAGGTATTTGGGCGCGGGGCAAAACTGACCCCCTGGACGTAAGCTTCCTATTTCACTATTCTTATAAGTTCTATCCAAGAAAGACGATCTTACACGTCTCCTGGAACTCAAGATGCCACGACGCGAGGTGGCAACTCGAGTCTTGTTAGAGAGGGGCGTCAGGAAGACGTCCCCACGCGCCTTGGAGGCTACACCGGCCACAAGCGTCGGCTCGACGCTCTGGTGTAAACACAAACAGACCACTTTTTTTTTTCGAGCGCGCGCGAAACAAGGTGACGCTATGTCGTCTAGCGCCCGAACCACGCCACGACGACTCCTGAAAATCACCCACGTGTTAGTTAAACGTGTAAAGAATCTCAAGGAAGACTTACTTGATAAAGTAGATCCTTGAATCCCTCGTTACGGCGTATCTCCATGGGGGAGGGAGGTCCCCCAGGCCTGAAATCCGCCATCTTGCTGAACACCTTGATGGCTGTGCTTTCCGGCGGAGCCACCCCCTTGAAATCTGAGCTGTTGTTTTTGTTCCGCTCAAATATCGCGCGTTGGCGGAGGCCCAAATACTTAAATGTCCTTTTCTTCAGATTAAGACGGATAATGACATTACTCTGGTGGATTAGAGACCACAAGTGGGGGAAGAAAAGCTGTCGGTTTGGTAGAAACGTGACGAAATATTGTTTGTTGATGTTTGTTCAATGGATTGAATATTGCATCTGTCAAATATTTGTTGTTGTACTTCTGTAGAAAAAAGGTCTTGGTTGCAAAAGAGGGCGTCATGAGTTAAATGCAAAACAGTACGGTATCAGTCTATGTAAATCATACTTTGATGTTGGTTTTATGTCGGATTGTCACATAAAAAGTTAAGTTCGAAACAGGTGTCAGTGGGAGAAAACTCGATTGCCGGAATAGCTGCCTCTGGACATGAGAACTCTCAACTTTTCACTTTTGTCTGAGGTAATTTGGTAGGGGCCATTCCTCTAATAGGGACCCAAGAACAAATGTACCGCAACAAAACAATGCCATATTGGCGACAGAACATAGACGTATTCAAATATTTGATTAAGCTTACAAAACTACGATATTTGTAAGTTTATGGGCTCTTGGTATCTCAAAGATTAGCACAAAAACGGAGTCCCTCTTGAAACCTTACCCCGGTCGAACCGCACACTTATCGGGTGGGGTACGCCCTGCAAACAATGGGTGGTATGCAGATTTGAGGGTCTCAGAGGGGACGGACAATGACGTAACTATGGTTTGAAAAGCTCACAAGGGAGAGAGTTGGAAATTGTATCGGCTCCAAGATGGGTCGCTTTAGCAAACTGAATATCGCGGAGCTATATCAGAAATATAACGTCGAAAGTCTAACTAGTGTTGTTGCTTTATCAAATTTTTACACACCCTATTGGATCCTCCGCCATACCGGTGCAGTAAGTTGGTGACATTGAAATCATAAACTTTCCTTAAGTCCTTGGCAGGGAAATGTCAATATATTGCTGTCAAACATATAGTTCTATATGGTTGGCGTAAATAATTTTCCAGCGATTGGAAGGACAGGATATTTTGGCGAGTTTTGTTTAGCTCATGCATTGTAAAATGTCTGGCTATCATTCAATTGGATATGAATAAACATGTAACTGCCGTTCGTATTGATATAGAAGATATTTAGCGCAATGACGGTTAGATACAACACACGGCATTCTATTATCAACTCAAGGGAGTAAGCTGTTTTTATAAATGGCTCTTCAGCTGCAGATATCACGCCGAGAAATAGGTGGCGCTGCTGTTATAAGGCCAAGGGAGATTACATGTACACTGTAGAACTGGCGCACGTAGTTAGTTTGTAGCAAAATGCGGAACTTTGGAAAGGCGAAAATGTTAAAGGAAATGATAAAAATAAAATAGTATTAAGTTCCTGGGACCGACGTCACAGGTAAACTAATACCTTTTAAAGCTTAATATGCTTTTAAATGCATATTTATCTTAAAAACTTCAGTTTGCAGAATGCAGTTTTATGCTTGTGTGATAGTAAAGCCCCAAAATAAATAGTCGGAAACACGGTTTCTAGTTGGATTCTTGAATACCGTATATGGTATATTGCCTGGTGTATAAAAATGTAAAAACCCTAAAAATTTAAAAACCATGTTGTATGAAACAGAACAATTACAACTTAACCCAGTCTCCGAAGAAAATACAATTGCAACTTCCGGTAAAAGTATTAATATTATATTATTGTACATATGGCTCAGGAATACATTAACAATAGCCACCGTATTTACAAAAATATTATCAAAAAGTATTTTACAAAACAGATGTACCAGCTAGCTTAGATTACGTTTGACGCTTAGACATTCGCGTTTTACACGGCAAAAGTTAATCTCAGACCCCAAGATTTGCAGTGTTCCAATATAAAGATATAATTAAACTCAAACAAATTTTTTACAAAAAGCTTGTCCATGATATATTTACAACCTAAACTAGAATATTACCATTAATTATGTACATAATGGCATCCAAAGACTCCATACAAA